ATTGAAGTTATTGACAAGTGACAAGATATATTAGTTAAGTTAAACTTAGAGCAATCCTTGAACTTCCTGATCTCTTCACTCTATGATTCAATTTCAAATACCATGAGACTCTATTTAGTGTGTTAAAGATCAAACCGAATCGAACTGGCCAATCAAACTGGTTGGATTAATGGCCAATAATGAAAGAAGAACGATAAAAGAAATGAAATTCCTGAAATTAAATTTGACATTGATGATATAACATGAAACGTGTCATTTAAAATATTAAAAAATAAAATATATATAATTTAATAATTATTATTTTTTATTTAAAAAATGTATAATATTATAGATACTATTTTATTAAATGGCATAATTTATTCTATATTATTAATTTCAAATTTTAATCTTAAATTTTCCTTGTCTACGTAGCTACTCTTAGTGAAAATACAATACTTCACAGGCTGTTTAAATATTTAAACAGGTCAAAATTGGCTGGTTTTTCGGGCAAATTGATAATTACTATTTATCTTTTAACATAATTTTTAATCAATAAATTTTTTTTTCACACTTTTTAAAAGTAAAAAAACTTCTTTTAAACGTTATTTTTGTGAAACTCATTTAATAAATTTTCTACCAATTTTTTTAATTATAATCGTTTGCTAAACATAGTTTTTTTAGGTTTTTATATTATATACTTTAAAGGTACATATTAAAAGTATAATAAATATATTTTTTTATAATTAATTTACATAAAAATGACAAAATTGAGTTTAATTTAATAAATTAGCTAATTAAAACTATTTACGGACATTGATACTAAAATAAAAGTCTGAACTGTTATTTTTTAATGTAAATTAATTATAAAATAATATATTTATTATATTTTTAATTTATATCCTTAAAATACAAGTTAAATAAACCTTTATTTTTAAATGAGGACCAAACACATAAAATTAATAGGGAAATGATATATACACCTTGTAAAATTATACACTTTATTATACACTAACAGTCTTTGTTACTTAATCCTTTACAAATTTCCCTTGCAACTCCCTAATGCACCAAGTCCTTTCTTTCTCTCTCTCCTTTCATTTCTCCCTCTCACTGTTCTAGCCTTAGACACATAAAATAAGCCTATTTTTGGGGTGATATAGCATAAAGTGGAGTGTACGTGAGTGGAGCCAATCCACAGAAAAGGAAAAAAAGAAAACAGGGGAAATTTTTATAGTTTTGATACTATGCACAATTTTGTCATTTTGTTTGATTTACAAAAGTTCATTGTTGGATTGAGTTGAAATTTTATCTAAATGTTCAAAAGACATTGATCTACATTATGAACGGTTAGTTTTTGATTTGGAACTTTGTAGGTTCTGATTTTGTCCTTAGAACAGTAACTCATTTTTTATAATTTGCTTTTTTGTAGTTTGGGTCCTGTGCATAACTTTGCCATTTTATCTGATCTGTAAAAGTTCATTGTTGTATTGAGCTGAAATTTTGTCTAATTATTCAAAAGACATTAATTTATATTCTAAACAGTTAGTTTTTTATTTAGACCTTTGTAGGTTCTGATTTTATGTCTAGAGTAGTAGCTCATTTTTGGTGACATATTTTTCTATAGTTTTGGTGCAGTGCGTAGCTTTGCCATTTTGTCTGATTTGCAAAAGCTCACAGTTATATTGAGTTAAAATTTTGTCTGGGTGTTCAAGAGACATTGATCTATATTCTAAATGGTTAGTTTTTTGTTTAGAGCTTTGTAAGTTCTGATTTTGTATTCAAAATAATAACTCATTTTTAGTGAACTATCAGTGTGTAACAAATTAAGTAACAAAGGTCGTCAGTATGTAACGGAATAGGTTGTGCGTCAGTGTCCAAATTAATAACCTAATAACTCAACAAAATTCTAAGAATACTTCATTACAAAATTTTCTAACATTTTTTTAACTTTTATAAGATACTTTCTTAATAATTGTTTTCAATAAATTTTTTTTGATAAAATTAATCACAAACTAAGGGTGTGTTTGGGATTATGATTGGGGTTTTTTTATGTAACCATACAATGCTTTAAAATATATGTGTGTTTGGTAATTTTTTTCAAACTACTTTTTTTAAAAATTACAGAAAACCACAGCAGATTTACAGTAATTTTATATGTAAAACTAGAAGTCTCATTTTGGAACTTTTTGGTGGTAGTTTTTATGAAAATCACATAATATTTAATATAATTGTAAAATTACTCATTAAAACTTAATTTCGTATAATTTAATTACATTATAATTTATAATATTTTAATAATGATAACAAATTTAAAAAACCTAAATTATTAAAAAATAAATATTATTTGTTTTAATAATTATATATTTTACAATATTTTTTAAATTTTAATTGATAATTAATAAAATTTATCATATTTCATTTATAATACTTTTAAGAAATAAATAATCAAACATCAAAATAACTTTTAATTACAATTGTAATACATCATAATTCAATACAACTACATTACTTCACAATAATCCCAAACCCACCCTAAATAAGCCTAATAGAATAATTTCCACTGCCTATTTTATGCCATATTGTTATGCCTATCAAGTTTGGTTTCAATGTTAGATTCTCGTCATCACCTAAATTCACCTCTTTATCGCCATTTGTTACAACTAAACTACCAACCGTAACTCCCTTTCAGTTTCTCGTTGAGCTTTTTGACGTTGGCTCCATTTACTATACCTATACAGTAGAGATTTTTTATTTTTATTTCTAATTTTTAATAATTTTATAATTATTAAGAGAGAAAAGTATAAATAAGAAGGTTTTTAAATTTTTAAATATTAAAACTCTTTATAAAATTATTCATATTTTTAATAAATGTTGTTTACGTCTTAATATATTTAAGATATTTTAATCTTTATGGGTCTATCCCAAATTTAAAAAAATAAATAAATAAAAGACTATAAAACTAAAATTTAAAAAGAAAAATGATAAGGGCTTTACCCTAATTTCTTTTGTAAAGACAAAAAAAATATAAAATAATGGTGTAAGAAAAAAGGTCCTATCTTCATGTTTTCTTTTCTTAGTTACGCCTTGATTAAAGGTATTATAGTTTTTTTATTATCAATTCTAACATTTTAATTAATAAAATATCTTAATTTTTCTCAATCTCATAAAAAACCTAACAATATGTTTTTTAACCTTGATTACAAAAATTGTAAATTTGTTTGATAGTATTAAAATTATTTTGTTTTTGTATCTAATAATTATAATAATATGTTAAAAATTACACAAAAAGTATTTTAAAATAGTAAAATTTATAAAATTAAACTATGATACCGCTAGGCAAATCCAACATTGATAAAGTATGAGAGAGATGCTAAATATATAAATTAACATCCGTTACATTCTATTGATGCGTTTTAAAACCATAAAACCTGTTAGGTCAAAGTAGATAATATCAATAATATACTAGATCATTACAGATGCTATTAAAGTCATTTCGCGTGTCCTCTTTAAGTAGTGATAGGACAAATCTTAATGAGGATGTTGAGTCCCAAAAGGGGTGTATGTGATACACCTAGGCAAATTCTACATCAACAAAATTTGAGAGAGATTATGAGTATTGTCTGTCAACACCTGTTACCCTATATTAACATGTTTTAAAACTATGAAACAAATGGGCCAAAACGGATAGTATTAATGTGGGCTGCATCATTACATAAACCAAAAATGAAAAGTATAACTTTACTAAATAAAACCTTTGTATATGCAAACTAATATATTGTGCTATAACTTTCAGAATTAGATCTATTAGTAAATGAATGCAGTTCTGTAAAGTAAGTTTAGAATATTAATTTTTTTAAATATATTATGTCAACGTGAGAGATGTATTTTTAAAAATGTTAAAAAAATCACTTTTAAAACGTATAAAATTAGGTCTAACCACACTGTCAGCAAATTAAAAAATAATAATATATTGTACTGTTGATTACCAAAACAAAATAAGAAGTCCTCCCTTGTCCCTAATGCCTACTCGGTCTCATCGAGAACAAACACCCCCCCCATGTACCAAAA